AGTGCTGGGATTAAAGGCGTGCGCCACCACCGCCCGGCTGTTTGTTTGTTTTTTGAGACAGGGTTTCTCTGTGTAGCTTTGGAGCCTGTCCTGGAACTCACTCTGTAGCCCAGGATGGCCTCCAACTCACAGAGATCCACCTGGCTTTGCCTCCCAAGTGCTGGGATTAAAGGCATGCACCACCACCACCCGGCAAGATCCACTTTCAGGGTGATCTTAAACTTCCTTTCTTCTCATGGTGTATCTCCCTCCAAGGCCTCTTTTCTATGGAGCCCTGGCTTCTTTCAAAACGATAACCTCAAGGTCATCACTCTTTTTTGTTGTTGTTTTGTTTGAGACAATGTTTCTTTGTGTAAGCCTTGGCTGAACTGGAACTATTTCTATGAATCAGGCTGGCCTTCAATTCACAGAGATCCACCCGCCTCTGCCTCCCTAGAGCTGGGATTAAAGACATGCACTGCCCAGCAAGGTCATCACTCTTAAAGAGCAGCTGGTTTCCATGAAACAGATGTGGTAACTGCCAGCTCATTTCAAAGCCCCAGTCAGAAATACCACGCTGAATTGGTCAAGGCAGCCACCAGTTCTGCATAGACCTAAGAGCAAGAGGAATAAATGGCACTCACATTCAGTAGAGTGTTGGGTCATATTTCAGAACAAACCTGTGAGATAGAAACTACTGTTTAGGCCACTGGAGGAAAATGGGATCTTCCGAGAGCTGATAAACAATGGCTTTAGGAAATACTATATAGGTGTTTTTCACGTTGAAACTTTCTCCTAGACTTGAGGAAACAACTATCAAAGGTTGTCCATGGAGCATGACAGAGAAGTTAAGAGCGAAAAGCTTAAGTGAAAGTGAAGGAGGGAAAGTTCTAGACAGGCCCGGCAAACTAAGGAGAGATGTTTGTGTAGTTCCTCCCCAGCCCCTGCACAAGTTGGTAAAAGGGGGAGGCCGGTTCAGAGACATTAAAGAACTTTCTACTAAAGCCAGAGAGAAGCCTCTGAGGGGTTCAGGCGTTGGTTTTCTATTTGTCTGCCACTGGGAAAACGGGTTGGCCAGTGGTTGGACCTGACGGCAGGAGGAGTGGATGGTGATTGGGGAAGATGGATTGTAGCCTTCAGAATGGGAAGGTTTGGACGCACTGAGAGATGTTAGAAATCCGAATCCACAGGCTTTTGAGCTGAAAGAGTGTGAGGAGAAAGCTTGCACCCCAAGCCCAGTCACCTGGTTGAATGTTGGACTGGTCAACGGAATGCAAGGTAAGTTCTGCAATGTGCCAGGCAGAAGTTTCATACTTCTATTTTATGTGGAAACAGTTTTAGAAATAATTATAATAATGACAAGTACCAATACTTTATTAGTCGGTGGCAGTTTTGATGTTTACATGGATTATCTCATTTGGCCTTGAATTATTTAAGGTAGGCAGTATCAGTTTGAAGCCCACTGACAGGAGAGCCCAGAGAAAAGACTTAAAAACAAACAAAGAATTATTCAGACTATGTTTTACTATGGATTTAGGTATGGGCATTAAGGAAGAGAGATTGCCACTTCAAGAAAGACAATGTACACCCAAGCATGGCCATGGACTTCTCAGGAGAGAGCGTAACAAACCAGGGACAACTTCACACATTTGCACGCCAGCCATCCTTGTACAAAGCCCAGGCTGCTCTCCTCTGTCCTGTTCCAATTTCAGGGTGCGCTGCCCAATTGAGCGTCAGGGAAAAGTCTTAGCTCTTCTCCTTCCCCAGTTTACAGTGGAGTCTGCAAACTATGCTGTAGCCCAAATGGCTATGCACCCCACCCACTGTGTGCATTTTTGTCCGGTCTGAAAGCCAGGAATTTTTTTTTTTTCACATTTTAAGGTTGAGGGGGCTGGGGATGTGGCTAGTTGGTAGAGTGCTCGCTTAGCTCTCCCAAAGCCCTGGGTCCAGTCCTCAGCACCACATAAAACTGGCCATGGTGGTGGATGAACCACTGTAACCCCAACACGCGGGAACTATGGGCAGGAGAATCAAAAGTTCAAAGTTATCCTTGGCCATCTAGGGAGGTCAGGCCAGCCTAGGATATATGGAAACAGGTCTCAGAATATTAGCAGAAATATAAAGTCAAAAGAATATTTCATGACAAGTGAAAATTGCATGAATTCAAAACATAGTCTTCTGAATTCAAAATTTATTATCTGTAATAAAGTTTTTATTGAAACATAGCCGTACTTAGTAAGTGTTATCTATGGCTGCTTTCTGGCTACAAAAGCAACCTGGAGCAGTCTCCATGGAAGACCTACATAGCTGGATATATATATATATATAATTTCATTTTATTATATTATTATATTAATATATATGTATGTATTTACTACCAGACAGTTTCCCAGATTTATTTCAGAGTCACCGCTTTCACTCTTTTCCAAGACAAGACAATGAAATTTCTGGTGTTTAAAGAACATTCAGGGGGGCTGGAGAGATGGCTCAGAGGTTAAGAGCACTGACTGCTCTTCCAGAGGTCCTGAGTTCAATTCCCAGCACCCACATGGTGGCTCACA